AAGTTCCTGAACATGTTTTTGAAGGACATTATTTTTGCCTGAGCCTTGGAACTCGCGCCGGAACTCAACATTCACAACGCACATTCCAAAGGAAGCATTGAAACCCGATACTTACCAAAAAGTGATGAGCAATCATGATTGTGCTCGGCTTTGCATGGCCGTTGGCAGCAAAAATGGATCTTGCATGCAACACGTCGATAAACAACATTAGCCTTTGTGGAACCTTTCAGCATTCCGCACCCGTGGGCAGCAAAACCAAGGTTGTTGCATGCAAACCTCTACCAAGCGCAAGCGGGTGCGCGTTCCAAGTTGGATTCCCGGGCTCGATTCAAAAACTAGACCACGGTTGGCCCGAAAGCAGAACATCGCAAGCGAGGTCGGCCCAACGCTGCATCCCTACACGAAGCATTTGTGAAGCAAGCTCTGCGCAAACTGGTCGGTGCAAGTTGGTCTGCGCAAGTTGCTCTACGCAAGTTGCACTGTGCAAGTTGCTCTGCGCAAGTTGCTCCGCGCAAGTTGCTCCGGCAAGTTGGTCCCTGCAAGTGGCTCCCTGCAAGTTGCTCTGTGCAAATTGCGCTCCCTGCAAGTTGCTCTGTGCAAGCTGCTCTGTGCAAGTTGCTCTGTGCAAGTTGCTCTGCGTAAGTTGCTCTGCGCAAGTTGCTCTAGGCAAGGCGCTCTGCGCAAACTGGTCGGTGCAAGTTGGTCTGCGCAAGTTGCTCTGTGCAACTTGCTCTGCGCAAGTTGCTCTGCGCAAGTTGGGCACCGCAGAAATCGCAAAAAACCATGGGTTTTTGCACCTCGACCACGCCGATCCCCGCAGAGAGTCGCGCGGGCATCTTGGAAATCGCAAAAAACCATGGGTTTTTGCACCTTGACCACGCCGATCCCCGCAGAGGGTCGCGCGGGCATGTTGGAAATCGCAAAAAACCATGGGTTTTTGCACCTCGACCACACCGATCCCCGCAGAGGGTCGCGCGGGCATGTTGGAAATCGCAAAAAACCATGGGTTTTTGCACCTCGACCACGCCGATCCCCGCAGAGGGTCGCGCGAGCAAGAAATCGCAAAAAACCATGGGTTTTTGCACCTCGACCACGCCGATCCCCGCAGAGGGTCGATTTTCGTGTAGCGTCGTCGGCACTACCCCGCCGCCCTAAGAAGAGATTTTAACTCCTCGCAAGTCAATTGCACTTGACTCCTTGCACTTGCAACTTGCACTCAACTTGCACTTGACTCCATGCACTTGCAACTTGCACCTGACTCCTTGCACTTGCAACTTGCACTTGACTCCTTGCACTTGCAACTTGCACTTGGCTCCATGCGCAGCTCGCAATGACTCTCATGACTCCTTGCATGACTCCTTGCAATGACTCCTTGCAATGACTCCTTGCAATGACTCCTTGCAATGACTCCTTGCAATGACTCCTTGCAATGACTCCTTGCAATGACTCCTTGCAATGACTCCTTGCAATGACTCCTTGCAATGACTCCTTGCAATGACTCCTTGCAATGACTCCTTGCAATGACTCCTTGCAATGACTCCTTGCAATGACTCCTTGCAATGAATGACTCCTTGCAATGACTCCTTGCAATGACTCCTTGCAATGACTCCTTGCAATGACTCCTTGCAATGACTCCTTGCAATGACTCCTTGCAATGACTCCTTGCAATGACTCCTCACTCAAAGTCCAACAAAAGGAAGCAGGTGAGATGCCACTCGGAAGCCCCGAACTTCTACCGGCTCAGTGTAATTCCCGAAAGCATGGCGAAGGCATTGCAAGGAGTCATTGCAAGGAGTCATTGCAAGGAGTCATTGCAAGGAGTCATCAAGGAGTCATGGCAAGGAGTCATTGCAAGGAGTCATGGCAAGGAGTCGTGGCAAGGAGTCATTGCAAGGAGTCATTGCAAGGAGTCATTGCAAGGAGTCATTGCAAGGAGTCATTGCAAGGAGTCATTGCAAGGAGTCATTGCAAGGAGTCATTGCAAGGAGTCATGGCAAGGAGTCATTGCAAGGAGTCATGGCAAGGAGTCGTGGCAAGGAGTCATTGCAAGGAGTCGATCCTGTGCTGATTGTGGCTTCTATGTGGCCGGGCGTGATGTGGAATGCAGCGGCCATGTCAGAAGTCAGGCAACCCAATTGACCGAAGCCGCGCCTCACACATGCGCCACCCTAGTGAAGTGGGAGCAGTGACCCAGCTGTCCTTTTCTGAGCCAACTCGTTTCTGCCCGGCATGATGTCTTCCAGCATAGCTGTGCCGGTGTTGCGTTCATGCATTGCATTCCCAAGGCTTGCCTCTTTTTTGCGTAGCGTTGGCTCTCAGGCTTCCAGCTGCTGGCGTAGAGCCTGACGAAGCTTGTTTCACTCGTGCCGCGCGCAGATCCGCGCCTCCAGCTGCTGGTGAAGTGTGTGTTCGTTTTTGTCACACGGCCTGCACGGCGTCTTGCTGTCTTTGCTTCTCAACTCAAGCAAAACGCAGCAAGCCTGGCTTCTCTCGTGTCGTCCCCTTAGCAAGGCCAGGCGCAAGCTCATGGTCATATGATGGCGGTGATTCGTGAGCTGTGGCTCAACGCGGCAATGCCCTGCCTTGCCCAATCAGCTGCCCACGGAGGGCCGCCAGCCGCGCCTACGCGTGCCGATAAGCTACATTAAATCTGAATCGAATTCAGCTCATTCGCAAATCGCGAGAGGGCACCCGCAGCTCTTGCGAAGCGATTGGCGGAGCCGCCCTCTCAGCATCAACCTGTCAGACGGGACGTCGCCCTGACTGGCGATCTCCATACCCCAGTGCAAGGTGAAGGCCGGGTCTTTGGGGTCTTTGGGGTCTTTGGGGGCTTTCTGTGGCCTGTGAAGGCGCGCTCCTGAGCAACCGTGTGGATGAATGTTTGACTCGCCGAGCAGGATGTCCAAGGGTCCCTGCGGGAGCTCAGGTGCTTCACGCTGCAAGCCCCGGCCCGAGATTTCGCCTTGGCAAGAACGGGGCCGTGCTTTCCGGTGAAAGGGCTCCAAGCGCTCTCATGAGAGCCCAACTTGGCTTGGACTTGAAGCGCAGCTGCTGCTCAAGGAGTTGTTTCTTTAACTTCTCTTCCTCCAAGAAGATGACAAATGAATATGGAACGTGCATGAACTTGCATACTATGCATGCCTGCAGGAGACATTGGCTCTCCCGTTGCGCAGCTAGGGTTGAGCCTACGGGCCAAAAAAAACATTCGTGGCATCCGATGGCATCCGATGGCCTACTCGGCGCTGGAGCCCGGCTGCCATGAGGTCGTCTCCTGCCTCACACGACGCGATGTGCGACTGGCCGGCTTGCCGCCTGGAGGAGCCCCGGCATCTGCATTCCTCGCCAACAGCTTTGAGTCTTTGAGTCTTTGCTTTGACAATTTGAGTTCTAAACGCTCTAAACGTTCCAAAATGTTCCAAAGCTACAGCTCTTCAATGCTCTTCACACAAACCTGTCGCGTGCCAGCGCCTGGGAGCTGCGCTGAAGGCGCTGAGCTCTGAGCGGAGCACCTCGAGCCTGACAGATCTGGCCACTGGCCCAGTGATTTGATTCGAATGCGGTCAATGCACCAAGGTCCGACGTGGTCGGCTCTGTGAATCTCTGAAGGGGCTCAGTGCCCAGCTCTTCAGCAAGAGCGCTGGCATGCCTGAAAGCTATTGAAAAGTGCCATATGGTACCGGCACGTCTAGTTCTGCGCTTCTGCGCAGTCGCCTCTTCCCATTCTCCAGCAAGTCCTCGTAGCTGTCAAAGTCCTCCACAATTTATGCTGAATCTGGCAACGTTCATGGCAAAGTCAAGTCCTCTACAGCAAAAGAACCTGCTCGTGCGTCCGCCAGCTCGCCTTGCGCAAAGCAAACTCTTGGCGTAGACTTCGCACTGGGCAGGTCCCTTCAAATTGAGCTATGCAAACGAGGCGTGGCATGTGAGCCCGGTCTCATTTGGCTTGCAACCTTGAAGGCGAGCTTCGGCCACCTGAAGCGTTGCCTCCAATCACATGCAAGCGATGCATCGCAATGGGGCCCCTTGCAATGAGCAGCCTCTTCTGCTTCTTCTAGGCGAAGCCGAGTTGACAAGTTGGCATTGGCCTCAGTACACAGACGTCTCAGCCCAGGCCAAATGTGCTCCGAACACCTTGGAAACATGCTCCACAAGTGCCAAGCAAGGGCAGACCGCCCTCCCATGCCTTCCTGGGGAACAACTAGGACAGCTATCTTACAAGCTGCACTGAACAGCTGAAATGCAACCACTCCTTCTGAGCCAGTCTGTGGCTCACGTCAGCGGCCTGCTGCTGGACTTCCTGCGAAGCAAATGCACATGAGCTCACATCTTTTCTGCTTTGATTTGGGGGCCATGCCTGAAGCTTTCTGCGGAAGGTTTGGGCGTCTTGAACCCTGCGCCGCACCACAGCTGCGTGCTCCTGGCTCCTGAAAACCGCTTGGATTGCTCGCCAGCTGCGACTCGCACTCTTCTTGAGCCTCCGCCGGAATTCCGCCACCACCTGGCGCGAGTGAGGATGCGGGACGCGGGACGCGGGACGCCCGCGGGGCCGGGCCTGGTCATCGCCGGCAGTCTTGGTCTCTGCAGCTGCCGCCTTGGCAAGCCCCAGCTCGTGGAGGAGCTGAGTCAGCCTTGCCTCAGTGCTTTAGACAAAAACCTGGCACCTCGCCTTTGGTTTCACCAACTGCACCTCCGTGGCAAGCTCTTCTCTTGCCTTCACAAATGCAGCGTCAAGCACTCGCTAATCCAAGTCCGGCCTGGGCCGCATGAATCTCGTTCAGAGCAGTGACGCATTCGCGGGCAACTGCTTGCTCTTCTACCTGTCCAGCAAGACGGGCAGAGCAAGTTTCCATGCGCGGCTGGGCCTCAATGCGGCGCGTGCCTGGCACAATCTCGGCTCCAAATTGTTTTTGTGCGCCTTTGATATGGGCCAAGGCATGCCAAGGCCAAGACCTTCTGTTGCGGCAGCCAGGTCACTCACCTGTGCCTTTGCCAAATTGCATCCGACTGATAAACAAGACTACAAAAACAAATATGCAAAAATGCGATGCCGCGGAACATTTCCTCACCTCCGCGTGGCCGAGGGACAGTCCAACGCGGGTCTGCTCCTGGTCCGCTCTCGCCCAATGTGCTTTGCACGCATCGCAGCATCGCAGCATCGCTTCGGCACCTGCTCAAACGCCTCCCGAAGCATTGTGGATCGGAGCCTAGGGCTTGGGATCAAGGACCCAAACACCCGAGAAAACCCGTCCGAAAACCCGTCCAGCTCGAGCGAAAACCCGCCGGCTGCACTGCTCTGTCTTAGCTTGGCGAGAGAGCTCCGCATTCTCCTGCCAAAAAAAAAAAGAACAGAACCCCGCAGAACCCCGAATTCAGGGGTTCAAAAAGGCGCTACCTGAATTGAATTCCCCCTGCCTGCTGCGCTTCTTCCAGCTTGTCTTGGGTCTCACGCAAGCGCTGCGACGCAGCCTGCGCGTTTTTAGCACCGCCTTTCTGCACTGAATATGCAGATGTGCTCGCAGATATATGCTCGCAGATATGCTCGCTGAAAACACGCTCGCCTCTACGCGCTGCGTGTGCAACGCCAGATCATCTCGCAGCGCCGCTATCTCGATCTCCCTGCCATGTTTGGTGATCAGTCTCAATGCTATTTCATCTGTGCATTTGTGCGGCTGCGACAGGCAGGCAGCACTGTTGCTGGATGACCTGAGGCCGTCGCATGGCGTGGGATGTGGAGCTTAGGCCCTGGCACTAAACGCCAACCTGAGCATGAGCCCTGAGCCCTCCTGAGCCCTGCTCAGCCCTGCACACCAGCGTGGTCCTGCAACTTTCCCTGGTCCAGCGCTGCCTGGATTTCGAGAGCTTGCTTGTGCGAAGTACTGGTACGCGCCTTGGCCTTTAAGGACTCCAAGCGTCCTTTGCAAACGACCCAACACTTCAAGCACTTCAAGCACTCATATAATTACTCGTAATTACTCGTAATTACTCGTAGCTTGCTCCTTTCAGGTCGTGGACGGGCCTCATCGTAGTTCCGCATCACACTGCTTGACAAGGACCTTTCTTGAGCACCCAGCCCGCTTGTGCAGGAATCCGCCTGGTCAGCAATCCCATTTCATGACCTCTGACCTCTTGGAACTTAGGGTGCCAGGAACGCAATAGATGTCAAACATAACAGTCGCCTTTTCGCGTTGGGGGGGGGGGTGGAGCGGCTTACGACCAAACAAGACCCAAGGAAACAAATCTCACTCCCGGCAAATCGTGCATATGGGAGTACTCCGAACCGGTGGCCTAAGTGAAGTCGAAATCCAGCTCAGGCGGTGTGCGGGAAACAAAGAAGCATGTTGAACTTACATGTCCCCTTGTGGAGGACTTCAGGCAAAATGGCAGCCGTAAAACAAAAAGGTCATGTTGGACATTCACTAGGCAAAAGTGCACACACATAGACACATAGACACATAGACACATAGACACATAGACACATAGACACATAGACACATAGACACAAACACACACACACAAACACACAAGCACACACCCACCCACGCACACACACACACACACAGCACCGCACCGCACCGCACCGCACCGCACCGCACCGCACCCGCACCCGCACCCGCACCCGCACCCGCACCCGCACCCGCACCCGCACCCGCACCCGCACCCGCACCCGCACCCGCACCCGCACCGCACCGGCACCGCACCGCACCGCACCGCACCGCACCGCACCGCACCGCACCGCACCGCACCGCACCGCACCGCACCGCACCGCACCGCACCGCACCGCACGCGCACGCCCCCGCGCACACGCACGCGCACGCGCACGCGCACGCGCACGCACACGCACACGCATGTTCACACGTTCACACGTTCACACGTTCACACGTTCACACGCGCACGCGCTCGCACGCGCACACACACACACACTCACCTAAAAACTGCAAAGGATGGAGGGTGTGAAGCTTCTTGAGATCATCGCATTCATGTGCTATATCGCCCCCAAATGGCAGCTGGCATCTTGGGAATATTTGGCGCATTGACTACTGTAACAAACATACCGCGCACACACACACACACGCTCATCTGGAAACTGCAAAGCATGACGGGCGCAACGCAGTTGATTCATGTTTATCAGATTCCCCCGACTAGCGCGCACGCCGAGGGTCTGCAAGGTCCGACCATGCAAGAGGAATACAAGCAACGCCCTCTCAGGCTGTTCGCCAAGCAGAGACCAAGGGAGGCATGGAAAAAACTGCAAACATCTGCAAGCTGCACTGACTGCAAACTTGCGTTGCATTTCAATACCGTGGCTTTGATCGTTATTGGCCCAAGCCGAAGCAGAAAAATGCCCTCAGCGAGGCGGGCGTAAGCGCTGGTGTGGAAGGCTCTTGTGTTTTGCGTGGCCGGGGTGGTCAGCGCGGGAAGGCTTCCGGCGCGGCTTAAGTACGACGGAAATGTTGGCTGGCTTTGGGTCCCAAGTCGAACGAAGCAGCCCACAAAACTTAAGTGAAAGGGAACGAACCCGTCTGGTCCAGCGCTTGCTGGCAGCGGCTTGCAAGGAAACAAATTGCTATCCACACTGCTGGGCGGTACCTAGAAGACGCGACCGGACGGTCGATGGCTTTTCAACGCTTCGGCAGGTCTAGAACCAATTTGGCATGCAAGGTAAAACTGTTTTGAAAGGCCTGCGCATGAACCAAATGCAAATGCTGAGCGTTCCCTATAGCTCAATCGGAAGCTGCAAGTTTGACACGCTGACGGGTTGTTTGGGGAGAGTCGCACCACCATGCGCCAGCAATCTCCAAATTGCCTTAATCAATCGCCGAACCAAGCCTGGGCCAGCAGCTTCTCGTAGGCAGCTTGCGAGCTAAGCACTGTTGCCCGCAGGCCTTGCGCCAACAAGATCCAGCAAAAACGTTCCGTCAAACGCATGTGCACTACACCCTTCCTTGACTCCGGGGGCGACACTTGCCAAAGTGGACTCTTGAGCAGCCCGTGTGCTCCTCAGCCACACTTACTTTGCGCAGCCCAATGGCCCAACACGCTGCACCTGGCCTCAGTGGAGCAAACAAGTCCTGCGGGCGAGAGGGGCCTTTGCTGCGAGCTGTGCAACGCATCAGCTCATGTACTCCGTGCCGTTCTCTGCTGATCCACACCCGCCCCGTGCCGTGTAATCTGAGGCCAACACACCCAACATCAAGGCTGGACGGTCTTCGCACAGGTGCCGGGTCTATCATCCTACAGGTGCGGCAGCGTGAATCATTACACATGTGCGTCCACAACAAACACCTTCGTGCCGCCACACCCTCTCTCTTCCTCTCCGAGAGCGTCCTCGCCCCTTTGGGCATCTTCCCGTAGCTTGCCAATGGAAGAGCAGTCTCGCGAGCCTCAAACAAAAAAATGCAAAATAATTCAGTCATAGCAGATCGCTTCCCAAAGGCTTGAGTCTGCGGCCGGAAGATTTGTGTCAATGTGGCCTTGGCCTCTGCATCTTGAATGCAAGCTGCTGAAGCTTGGCAGTCTCAGCTTTCTGCTTGATCGCAGGTTCTGCATGACGGACCGAAAAATTGCGAAGGCATCCTGACGAAGTAACTCCCCACAAACACGACTCTGGCTGGCTGCAGCCTCCGCCGCCAAAGCAGCAGGCGCAGAGGCAACTGCGTTCGCAACCAACTCCTCGGCGCCAGCTCGCTCGACTCAAGCTCTGGAAGCTATTTCATGTCCTCTGCCCAGGCCCGATGTCCGGGAGAAAGCGCCAGTTCCCGCACAGCACGCAGCAAAACCTAGCCCACGAAAGCCTCTTGACCCCGCCTTTCTACGCGGGCAAAGGCCTCCCGCCTCCCGCATCAGAGGTCTTGAGACTGTCGTGGTCCGTGCCCCACCAGGAACATACTGCTCCCAGAAGCGTGCGAAATCCTTCCGCGGGTTGGATACTCGCTCCATGTTGCCGTACCCAGCCTGGCGCTCCCTGTTGGCCTCCGAAGCATGGCTCAACTTCGTAATGTGCGCATCCACGCAAATGTGCATGTATTTATTAAAATGTATATTATATGTGGTACCCCTGGAATACTCAGGTTGCTGTTCAAAAAAAAGGGTTTTGCTGCAAACATGCATGTGGCATGCGCTTTCCAGGTTCTCAAAACGATGTTCTGAAAATCCACACCTTTTTTCGACTTAAATTCTAGCATCAGTACTTAGCGCAATCCAGGATGTAAAAGCATCCAGGATGCGCTAGCACATCCTGGGTTGAAGATCGAAGATTCTCTTGCAAGTCTTTCTGTGATTCTTCAATCTTCAATCTTCAATCCAGGATTTGCTAGCTCGAGTTTGTCCTAAGTATGGATTTGAAGATTGCCAGAAAAAGTGGTCTGAGAATCTGAAAATATTCAATCTGCAATCCACGTGCTAGGACATCCTGGATTGCCCAAAGTAGCGCACGTTCCAAGCGTCAAATTGCGGACGTGGAAGCATGTTTCTTGAAAACTTTGCAGTTTCGTGGGGACTGGCCAGAATGGGGCAGGATGGGCGATTTTCAAAACAAGCCTGATAGATCTTCACTCTTCGATGAAGGTTGGGAAAACCTTAGGGGCAGGATTGGGGATGTTCTAAAGGGATTTATGTGGAATCTTGAATATCCGGCCTTCGACCCAGGGCAACATCATCTGAGCGAATGCTGAAAACACCGTGTTTTGCAGCATGCTATGCTAAAAATTGGATCTATGTTTAAACATGTATCTGTTACTAGCTTGGCTCAGTTCTTGAACGGCTAAAACCACCTGGAGTTAAATAAGGACGATAACCCGTATGAAACTGAGCTTGATTCCAGCTTTAACTGCCCTGACACAAGCTGTGTTTTCCAACTGTCCTTGACATGCGCAAGACACAGCAATCGGTCAAAATGGAACTTGGATTGAACTCGAAATCATGTTTAGCTGGATAGCCTTCCCATAACTGAATTTCACTAGTTGCTCTTCACAATGCTTGAATCCTATTAGACAAATAACACCCAAATGAGATGGCTGCTTTGCAACCTTGTGTTGAATACACTTAGTTGGAATGTGTGTGGAGTTACGCAAGTAGAATTGAGTTAACATGTACATGCAATTGGGCAAGGACATAAAGCATTTTTATATACATATATTTGATTTGGATGTCATGTCAAACCCAAATTACACATGGCGCGGTTGCCAACATCATGATGATACACCAGCGACAAACCACTACACGCGACAGAATCGGTGCAACAGCATCATGATGCTGCGGACAGCATCAGGAGGATGCCACAACCACGCTACCCAGCACCCGCCCTAGCACCCTGCCATCCATGTGCGCCCTCACCGACACCAACACCGCAAAAACTGCAGCCCCGGCACACCCCAACGCAGCACCCGTGCCAGCACCGGACATGTCCCCGAGCACCCTGCCGTACGCACTGTCACCAGCACCTCAACCGAACAGCACCCGCACCTGCGCCAGTACCCCAAAGCACATGCCCCCTAGCTCCCGACCGTCGATTTTGCAAAACAACTCCCCTTCTTCACTAGAAGTTAGAGCCCCTATGGTTTTCAGTTATCTGGGAAATACGCGCCCGCGCGGTCAGCAGCACCTCAAACAGCAACCCAAAACAGCACTTGCACCACCACCCCAAACTGCATTGCCCCTAGCACCCGCCGGTAATCTCGGCCCAACGTCACCAGCACCTCCAACAGCACCCCAAAACAATACCTGCATCAGCAGCACCCCAGAGCAGCACCTGCACCAGCACCACAAACTGAATGCCCCCCAGCACCCGCTGTCCATCAACGCCTTAAACAGCCAGGCACCGTTTAGGAGGATTACAACAAAACCCTCGGAGCCAACTGAGGAACACGCATTTAATATGAAAACCATTCTGCACATCTGTGAAATGAGCGCTTCGATGAGAGAAGTAGGCAGTTGCAACGTCTTGCTGGGAAGTCGAACACAATGTTCATGGCCAAAGCGTAGATTTGAACATGTCTTTCCGTGTTTAAGGGTTTCGTATGAGAAAACCAACTGCAACTTACAAAGTCAGAATAATCTGTGCATGGCGTTGTCCATGTGTTTGCGCACGCTTCAAAGCTTTGTCTGAGCTCTACACTCGTTGAGGTTTAACTCTTTGTGCAAAGGGATAGACTCGGAACATGCACATGGCACGTATGTGATGCACTTGCCTCTGTGTGAACGAACGGCTTGGACTCAGACCGTGAAGACCCGGAGGTGGGCGCCTCACCAATGCTCAAAAGTTATTGAAGAAAACAAACAAACAAAAAAGAACATGCTTCAAATCCAATTCTCAGCTTGGTGCCGGAAACTCTGGAGCATCCAACCTAAAGACATGTCAAGAGCAGCCCGAAATCTGGAAGGGTGAGGTCTGCACTCATCGGTCGATGATGCGGCCTCAAAGCACAACTCGAAATTATCTGGCTGCAAATACAAACCAAGCTGCCAACGCCCATGAGAGGCGGCGTTCATGCACGGCTGAATGTTGTTTCAGTTTGGAAAGGATTTCTCCATGTCCCAAAACGGCTTTCGCAGTGCTCGAATGGTCATAGTCGGTCTTACTTGCTAGCAAGGACCTGATGGAAGCACAAGTGCGCGAGATGACACGCACTTTGAGGCTTTAAGGGTACAAGTATATGAACAGTATATGCGTAGTTCCTCTGATGCGCACACATTGTGACATTGTGGGGCCTGTTGTGAGCGACCGTCTGACTTTTTGCTCAATTCCTGTCAGCAGCACTATGCATGCTGCAGCCGGCATGAATACACGTCAAACAGTAGATCCCTTCCACCCGCACAGCGTGAATCTCATTGACCAATGTGATGCCCTCCACGCATTCAACCGCAAGCTCGCAACTTTGACCAAGGCTTGGGAGGTCAAAGCAAAGCTCCCTACATCCAGCGGAGTGCTCCTTTTCGATCTAGCTTTGCTTCGCTCCCGAAGCATCCGGCACAGAGGCTTGCCGTCGCACTTCTTCAGGTAAGCAACTGGCAAGGACAATGAGTCGCGGAAAATGCAAAAGGGGTCGAAGAAACAGCCGAAACTAGCACGAATAACACGCACGTGCAAAGTCATCCGCCCCAACCTCACAGCAGCCCTCAAGCTGGTCTTTGCCTCCTAACAATCTATGTGCAATCATTTTGGAATATCGCTCTATGCACGGCCTGTGATCTTCCTTCACGTTGCAAGGTCACTGACTTGGCAACCTGGCTTCCCGGCCCCTTCCTACGCACTTCGGGGACCTTAAGCGCCTAAATCGTAGCTTACGTCTAGCAAAAAATGTGTATAAAACGCAGGGTCTCTTGCTCTCTATGAAACGCAGGCCCAGACCTCGGGGAACGTCAGGAGGTAGGCGAGAACCATCTTTTCCTTCACCTCAGTGAACCCTGGAATATACGTGAACCGCATTGATCACGAATACCTTGAAATCCACGTCGGACGGGGGCGGGCCCCCCATGATGGCAGAGTCTTATCTTTGAATCCCAATAAGCATCCTATTTGGTAAGGTCCTTTGACGCTGAGGCAAATCAGCTGTCTGTTCCTCTTGAAACATGTAGGCTGGTGTTGGACGTTCATGCTTGGCTCATCAAATCATGTCCAGATCTTCGAGCCATAAACGCCAGAAGGCAAGTGGAACCTTTCAAGTTGAACAGGCCCGGGTACTGGTAGGAAGGGCGGAAGCAAGCGCTGTTTCTTGCATGCGTGCCCGTGCCAAAAAAACAAAATGTTGCAACACACGGGCAGCTTGGCTCCGGTCAACACCTGGCCCTTCCGTGAAACGAGTCAAACTCGGACTCCATCGCAGTCCTGCCAGGCATCCTCAATCTTCCAACTTTCGCGGAGCCAGGGAATGACTTGGTGTGACTTGGCGTGACTTGGCATGGCTTGGCAATTGGCAACTCCAAGCAAACCGCAAAGGACTCACGACGTCAAGCAGCTTGTCTCGCTCGTGCCTTGCAGCCAGCATCTCGTCGACATCATCGGTCGAAGCGCCAGCGGCCATGAGCACCAAGGCTGCCTGAAGTGCCGCGTGTTGACCAAGTTTCCAAAAGTGACCAAAAACAACTGCAACCCATTTTGCAAGCCTTGAACAAACCACCCAAAACTGTTCGCATCAAATGAGCACGCCTCCATCTGCTTCTGCTTGGTTTCAAACTCCTGGCTTGCCTGCGTTGAGATATGCAGTCATGCTGAGACTGGCAGTACGCGAAGAACCTCCTTGGAGCGTCTGCGAGAGCGCCAAGGAAGGCGAGGCAGGCGCGCCAGGATGGATGACCTGATTGTTCCAAATCCGAAGGCTGTATTAAATCAGCAAAATGCTTTAAATGTTTTGAAGGTCCCGAAGTGCCAAAGGCCCTCCCGATGTCTCACGATCTCTGTCCCGAATCGGCGACTCGGGCCTGGAGCTCAGCTGCCTCTCGAGCACGGGCGCCTCGCTTGGAGGTGCGACGCTCACCTTCCGCTTCTCCTTCATCGGCTCCTGACACCATGGCCATGGCCCCATGGCCATGGCCCCATGGCCCCATGGCCATGGCCCAACGCCGTGCGAAGCCGAGCCTGAAGTATCTTGCCCAAGCGATGCAAGGCCTGCGGCGTCTGAGACAAACCAAATCCCATCTCACTCCCTGAGCCTCGGCACGCTGCTGTCGGCACTCTTTGCTCACGGACATGTCGCGCAGGACCTGAGTCACCCGCAACGCGTCAAAAAAAGGAAATCCAAGAGTGGTCGCTATGCTTCTTGGACTTTTTGGAAGATGGCTGGCACAATCTCCGATTCGGCTGGAACTTTGGCTCTTTGGCTCGCCTGGGCCCCCTCTCCGGGTCTCCGGACCCGAGTCATGACTTTGGCGAGCGTGTACTCTATGTCAATGGCCGTCACACTCCAGAGAGTGTCATGGAACAAGGGCATGGTGTCCTCTGGCAGTAACGCTTGCTATCGCTTGGCTGCGTTGAGGGAGCCCGGCGCCGAGCCTTGAAGGCCTCCGCCATTTCAGCTTCATCACCCCCTGCCACCAACCACCAGCCCAACAGAAATATACAGGAATCATAAACGTATAGAAACGTCATAAACGCATTCGAACGCATTCATGTTGCTGTGTCCTGGTGCCCAAGAGTCTGTCTTCTCCTGCATTGAACACAATGGCCTTGAGTCCATCCCGGAGCCGGCCTTGTCAGTTTTCTCCTTTGTCTTCTCCGAGCTAGCGCTAGTATCCTCAGATCCTGGCAAAAAATGGAGCATGCTGCGGGCTGTCAAGCTGCAAAGGGCCGGGAGTACCGAAGGTGCTCGCTCCTTCAGGTTGATCTGCAGAGTCCTGCACCAACGACTCTATGCACGAGCCTCTTTGCGTTCTTGGCATGGCCTCCACAACCAAAAGATTCTCTGCCTTCAGCTTTCGGGGCTGCAAAGAATCCTCGGCCAAAGTTTCTGAGAGGAAACTGCTGAGCCTCCTCACATGTCTATGTTCATGTCTATTTACATGTGCTTGTTTGAATCTCGGACTTCCACATTGAGGAACTGAACGACATAGCGTTCTGACTGCTCGTCAAAGCATTCGATGATGCCAACCTGCTGCTCTGGCGGTCCGAGTGAATTTCATCCGAGCGCACGAGCTCGAGCTCACGAGCCGGTCCTGCTCGTTGAGCTCGGCGCTGCATCTGTGCAGAGGTGGTGCAGAGGTGGTGCAGAGGTGGGAAGTCAAAAGCGATAAACAATAATCAGAAGAGTCTTAGGCAGAGATGGAGAAGACTCGTTCTGCCTGAGGTTGCGCAGCATCACAATGGTGCCAGGTTTGAGCCGTGGCCTCGTGTCCTGGAATATGCAATCTGCAACATTCCGCAACCTCCATAGATGCCAAATGTTGCCAAGCCGTCCTTTGACTTGTCCTTGAACTTGACCTGACCTGCAGCTTCCCAGGTAAAGAGGAATGGTGAGTAAGGAAAACAAACTCACTCTGCCAGCCTCCAGCTTGGCCTTCGGATGGAGTGGGATGTGAGTCCTACATCATGCATCGCCGAGTCCTTCCCCCCCCCAAAGCAACTCGCGGAATCTTCTCCTGCTCCGTCTGCGTGAAACCTCCCAATATCCAAGGCAATGGCGCCTCTGAAGGCGGCCCGCCTCGACTTGGAGAATCTTCATCTTTGGACTTCTCCGACTTCTCCTTGGATGCTTCCTCCTTGGATGCTTCCTCCTTGGATGCTTCGGATACTTCCTCCTTGGATGCTTCCTTGGATGCTTCCTTGGGCCTTGCTCGTGGCCGGGATTTCAGTGACACCGAACTCCCCTGCACAAGGGCGCAGGCTCAGACTTGCCCTTCTCCGACTTCCTGTGCTTCCTGCCGAGCACGGGATGAACCCAAGAATCGAAAACGGCAAGCGCGCTTTTCAACCGTCTTCATGATGCTGTTCACGGTGATGGCGGTTCTTCCTGGCAAGGCTTGCCCTTGAGCAGTTGAGCACTGATTTCACCGCGTCCTGCGGCGGCGGCAAAAGCCCCTTTGGACTTCAGCAAATGCGCCTGGCAACTTTGGAGTGGGATGGACCCGGGCCAAAAGTGGGCTGACCCGAGCTTCGACTTTTGCCGACAGGCGCCGCAAGGCACTGCCCGCCAACCACCTTGGACCATATTGACCATGTTCAGATCTGACTTCGTGACTGAGTTGGCTCATGAGGCCGTCAGATGCCATCAGATGCCATCAGATGCCATCAAATGCCATCAGATGCCATCAGATGCCATCAGATGCCATCAGATGCCATCAGATGCCATAAAATGCCATAAAATACCATAAGGGCCGGCACTGCTCCGCACCGTTGACATAGAGCCACCCGATGTGGTAAAGCATCTCCGCACCAAAGGGCACCTCTGATTCATTCTGATTCAATTCGTTTCCCCCTCTGTGATTTCTCATGGCCACCTCCGACAGGTGCTTGGCTTCTGCTTTTCGGTCGGCTTCCCATGTTGCCTTCACACGCCAAAAGTTCAAGATATGTCAGTTGTTTGTGCTTCCACGCCTCAGCGCAGCTGTCAAGGCCTCGCATGCAGGCTTCTCCTGCCCTGCTTTCTCACCCACACTTGCTCTTTGGAACTCTTTTGAACTCTCTTGGCCATGATTTCAGAGGCCCAAAGGGGCGACGGCCGCACGGCCCCTGGGCTTCTGGCGCCGTGCCAAGTCCACAGCACACTGCACTTGACGCTGGCGCTCCAAGACCTGACACCGAAAAGGAGCAAAGGTATGCCAAGGCCTAAAGGCTGTGAAACCAGGAGGTTCTCAAACTATCTCGGCTCGAGTTAAAGGCCTCCATGAAAGGAATCCCAATAGCCCTTGGGGGCCCTTGACGCTGACCTGTTCCGGACGCCTGCATCCTCTTGTGGGCTCGGCTGACCTTCGCACGTGAGTCACTTCGGGGCTTACACAAGCCGGATCGTGCCTTCAGAATGTCCACCTGCCCGCTCTCCTCGTCTTCAGCTGTGACAATTTCCCGCATCATTGACCTTCGCAGCGGAATATTCAAAGGCAGAATGCCAATCTGCCAGGCACGGGCTGCATGTCAGTATCAATGTCTTGTGCCAAACGTAGCCTTCCCACGTACCTTTCCCAGGGCCAGCTTGGCACTGTACGACATTATGACATTGGCTGTACTCAGATCTAAGGAGCTAACGGCTCAAAGTGATGCGTGCCAAACAGAGCGGCGAAGAAAACCACCGGCCTTGACGGGAAAACAAAGCGAACAAGGCGAAGCATGTGAACCCGCGGAATGGCAAAAACAAACTCCTCATGGCAACACTGTCCAGATCCGGCAGGCCACTCAATCTTTGGCATGTTGGCTGCAGCCGTATCCTGCGTCAGACTCGGTCAGACTGTAAAGCCAATCGTCTCACTGAAATGTCCTTGCCAAGCTCGTCGTAAGCTCGCCTCATGGGCCAGGCAAGCTGGAAGTGCAAAATAGTGCAAAGCTGCTCGGGTTTGCTCGGGTTTGCTTGCAAGTGCGGCTGAAGCGCCTGCGATCGTCATCTCCAAGTATGCGATAGGCGTCACTCACAGCCTCACAACTGGGGCCAACTGGGGCAATGGGCGCTACATACGTCACACTGGCGTGCGCCTGAAACTGCTTGGTTGCTTCGGGGTTGTCAGGGTTCTTGTCCGGGTGGAGCGCCTTGGCCGCGCGCTCGGTCGAGACATCTGACGTCAAACTGTCCTTTGCAAAAGCGTGACATCGCAAAAAGTCAGTTGGTTCTGCATTACTTGAGCACCAGGCCAAACTCTTCTTATAGAAGGCCTTGCGAATCTCCGCCTCCGACGCCTGCACAAACAGCGAAGCATGCACGAATGCACATGTACCATGGATGTGTTGCTCACGCACCGCTTTGGGAACAGCCACAAATCCTTGAGAATACACATACCCCCCCTTCAAAAAAAAGAAAAGAAACGAAAACCACGCGCACACCTTCCTGCAGTTTTCGCGCATCTAGCGCACATCTAAGATTAAGCATGTTGTTTGTGCTGCTCCTACCGCAGTTCTGGTACATGTCTTCCATGTGCCAAGCGCATGTTTCCAGCGTCACCTCTGATACATGTCTATTTGTTCTCTACTATGTGTGAAGTACTTCCAGCACAGAGCTTGCATATTCCTGGCATATGTTTGCCGTTTTTCCTCCGTGAATTTCCTACAACTAAAGATATAGTAGGGATGAGAACCTGTAGAAACGCACTAGCCATCCGATAGAAACATGCTAAACACGTGCTGAAAACATGCCTTAGGGGACATAAGCTAAACATGAATGAAACACATAATACATCAGCAAGCATAAAGAGGACATGCCAAGCACAAACAAAAGTCGTCTGTTTAAAATTCAGAGTACATACCTCTAGGTGGGGGGATTGTTCGAATATCTTGAACACGTCAGGCATAGAATTACACCAACAACACAGTAGAAACACACTGGACTAATCATGCAACATCGATTTAAGATATATAAAGCACAAGAAGTGACAGCAATGCAAAAACACAAGCAGCCAACTTCCGAGCATCCCATAAAGTTAAACTGCTTGAGGAAAGTGCACTGTCAAATGCCAACCCGTTTCTTGCAAACACCTACCAGTTCTCGGCTCTTCAAGCGATAAGGATCGAGAACCAAACTGTTTTTGACGGCTCCATCACAAAATCCGAAACCAAAACTTCAGCATCAAGGGGCGGTGGCCTTGCCATTGGGAGTTGCTGTCGGAGCCTCAGGGGCCACGCCGAGCAAGTCGTAGAGCTCACGGTGGGCGACTTTTCGCGCTGGCCGTGAAGGACGGCTCCCGCTGGAAGTGGCCTTGTCAGTTGCATCTTTCAGGCAGTTAGGCAGTTAGGCAGTTAGGCAGTTAGGCAGTTAGGCAGTTAGGCAGTTAGGCAGTTAGGCAGTGCCAACCCGCGAGGCCTCTTCGCTCGCTTCGCTGTTGCCCAGAACCTATGTGCTTCATTTCACAGACTGAACACCCCAAAACCTGGCCGGGAGCCTCTGCAGCTTCATCCGGCAATGAATACCAGTCCTTCCAAAAGAATAGTCAGAGAGTCTGAATCGATGTGCAAAACAACTCTGTGACGTCCTTCTCCCAGCGTCTCTTCTCAGGGTTCCACACCTGGGAATGCAAGGCTCGACAGATCTCAACTGTGTCCAGGTGCTCAACCCAGCACCTCTCCACGAGCAGTCCGGAAAATTGCTCCCGGCGTGTTCACCACACCGCGAACGATCTGACCTCGGCTCCAAATGGAAAAGCATGGAAGAAGCATGCTTCCTTCCCTTCCTTGAGATCCATCCCAGCTCATGCTCAGAAACCGCTTTCCTTTCGCTTTCACTGTCCGGGTGCCAGGCCACTTCCAACAAGCGTCCCCGCGACTGTGCTGCCGACGCAGGTAGCCAAGCCGGTGCCGCAGCCTTTGGCGAAGCCCTGGCTGGTGAGTCTCTGGCGATGCGTGCCGATGCGTGCCCACTGGCGCGGCCTTGATGCCACCTGTCTTGGCCCCAATGGCTGGCAAGGTCACCAGCGAGGCCAAGCCCACACCAACACCCCTGGCAAAGGCTAAAAGCTTTCCAAGCAAATAGGATTTGGAGTTTTTTTCAGTTGTCCGAAAGTCAGACCTCGCCTTGCCATGGTCTTCAAGCCACTGGCTGTCCCAGCCACAGCATCCCGTGGCTTCCGGACTGAGAAAATGGTGCCAACAGCAGCCTCCGGGATGCGCCGCTCGATGCACCGATTTCACGCACGATGCCTTGATCAACTCCAGCTCAGCCTGCTCACGCTCCTTGGCCGCACACAAGAGCCAAAAAGAGCCCAACAGCTCAAGCCGAAGCCGGGCAGCGCACTGCCTGTTCTTGCAACTGCAAGGCGAGCTCTTCCTGCCGCAGAGCCTGTTCAGCATCGTAGACCTGCGTCTGGCATTCGCTGCTGAGAGCGGCTCAGAAACGCGGGGCGGTCACAAAGACTTGCCGCTGGGCGGCAGCCACGTCGAGGTTGGCTTCTGCCTGGCAGTTTGCAGAAAAATGGCAGGGAATGCCGCCATATTGCCATGACCTCGGCCATTGGCTGTCCATCAGCCCTCCATCAAGCAGGGGGCCTTGCCTGAAGGCAATGTGAATCGATGTTTTCTCTGCGACTAATGCCTACTGTAGAAGTGTCCTGCATCTTTTAGTGATCTGACTTTGCATGCGCTGCAGGGTTCAGCGTGCGCGTAAAATTGAGAAATGGGCGGCCAGCAGCCTCATGATTTTGCACCGCAAACATCTGCAAAGAAATCTGTCAAACAGCGAAGAAACAAAATGGAGCTAGATTCGTGCTTTCTTCTAAATCGTGTTTTTGAGCTGTTTTGAGCCAGCATGGAGTACATCACGGCATATCATGGCAGAAAGTTGGATAGGCAGGACCAAGAAAAAAACAAAATGTGATTCGGGCACGAGCCTGTGCCCAGGCAATGGGTTAGTTGGGGCAAACAAGCCACAAAAGAAAGGTTCCCCAAAAACAAACCAATCCCCGGTCCCAAAGATCAGGGTTTCCCACACACCAGAGAACAACAACCAAAAGGGAAACAAACCGAAATAGAAAAGGATACCCGCAACCTTGGTCGACGATGAACCGCACGGGCGATCCCCACCAACCTACCCCGGGCCGAAGTCTCTTTCTCCTCCGACACGAAGGCGGTCGACGTGAGGGCCCGGCGACGCTCATCCGAGGCGCGCCGGATCCAACTTGAGCCAAACACCACCGGTCAGTCACTATCGCGACATCCCTGGTGATGGTTTAAGGCTAATCGCACCCCCCTCACGAGGAGCCCGTCATATGACGGGTGGAGCGTGCTATTTACTGATAGGATTTAACTGCTCGCATGTATCCGCAAACAGCTGGACACTACCGCCGTCAGCGGTGGAGCAAACCCACAAAGGCAGTTGCGCGACGTCCCGGGCATTAAAATCCCGCCACCACCCCGAATTAATCGGGGTAACGCTGTCCAACGCACCTTGTGGAAGAGTCCACATGACGGCACTAGGCCACAACTGTTTGCATCAACAATGCAAGAAGTTCAATTCTTCTCAGAAGCCATGAAACAAAGGATAACGTATGTCCAGTAGTACCCTCGCCTATCGGCAAGAGGTACCCCTGACCATGCGTACCTGAAAAATGCTTGAATTCCGCAAACCTGGGAGTATCCCCCCACCAGTTTGCTTCCCCTCTCACTCATACTACTTCATGATGAGCACGACCAGCAGCCAAGCGGCGGTACGGGAGAGACATGATCTCCGCGCCTCAGCGGTACGGGAGGAACATCATCATCACCGCACCGCGCCGACCATTGGAGAATGGACGCAAGCCTATCGGCCGCAATCCTCGTGACTCAGCCTATCGGCTATCGTCACGTCTCCTCCGGTCACGTCCGCCCCGCGCACGGTCCCTATCACGATCCCTCTCGGATCTCCTGCGATCATCTCGCCTTCGATCTCGCTCCCGATCGAGTGAGTCACCATCTCGACGATCACGAGCATCTTCCCTCCTCCGGTCACGATCTTCGTCACGCCGCGGACGGTATCTGCGCCTTCTTGACTCTCGGGAATCCCGAGTGTCCACGGTCCTAACGGACCTCCGAGAAGGAGTGCGGGAAACGTCCGAGTCCCTACGTCTCCTCCCAGGACGGGAGTTCGTCACGATCTGGTTGAGAGCCTCCAGTGCCGAAGCGTCTTCACCATTCCTGATGAAATCTCTGACCTGCCTGTTCAGCACTCTATTGGTGGAAATCGACAGGAGGGCGTCCACCACCGAACTCTCTGGCAACACCAGGAAGTGACCTTCCACCGGGCTCGCCGCAGCTCGCTCGGCCGATTGCAACCTGATCTCACCACCTTCAGGCCTCTTCGCCATCGCCTTGGAGGCCGTCAAAGGCGCTACCGCGTCCTTTGTGCCGAAGACCTACCAAGCGCGGAATGAAGATCATCTCCACTAGCCTCTCTCGCTGCCGCACCTGGTCTGCTGTCAACATCATCAGGCCTCGTTGATGCCTCCCGCTTTGTCGACTCCTTCACAGTCTCGTCGGGACCCCATCGGGACTTCCTTTCTCTCTTCTGTCCTTCAGCCGACCCCCGGCTATCGCCAGGAGCGTCATCTCCGCCTACCTTCTCCTTCTTGACCTCAACCTTTGGTTCGGCCTGTTTCGTCTCCTTAGGCTCAGCCTTCGGGGCCGGAGCGCTCTTCACCTCAGAAACTGACGCTGCCTTTCCCTTTGGCTCGGCCTTCGGAACCGGGGTCATCTTAGCCTTCGCACTTGGCCGGGCTCCTTCAACCGCTATCGCGACCCAAGTCTTCTTCGGTTGAGCCGCAGTCGCATCAACCTCCATCGGAGCCGGCCCAGCATCAGCCTTTGCTTTTCTGGCCGGTCATTAAGGACATGCTTTTTAGGCCTTTTCTTGGGGTGCTTTTTGTGGACCGAAAACCTTGTTTTTTTCGGGTGTGCATACTTGTCAAAACAAGTCGTTTTTCGGAAAGGTTTTTTTTGCCGAAAATCTTGGGGAGGGAGGGGGGCCTTGATGTTTGGACAATCCGGTGGCTCAGAGAGTTGTTTTTGCTATGTCAGCTGGTAGTGAAACTTGGCGCACGTGCTGCCATGGACATTTACGGGGTTGACGCTGACGAGCTCGCGCATTGCGTGGCGCTGCATGTCATTGAAATGAAGATTGACGAGATTATTGTCAGGAAATGCAGCCGGGTCCTGCGGTTGATCATGGAAAGAACTGGGCGAAGAGCCGCGATGTTTCCTTTCGCAGTCGTTCTTGCTGGTATGGAGCGCGCGCTGATTTCGCCATTGCCTTCTGATGATATGGCCAGGGAGCCTCTTGTGCGGGATTTGTGCTCTCCAGGCTCTCCAGGACCAACGCAACTTCCACGCGTCACTGCTGAAGAGCGGGCCTTTGTGGAAGAGTCGACCCAGGTTCTGCACTTCTTGAACGAACTGGCCGACATTAACGAACCTTTTACACCATTAAAGATGCTGTTGGACAATGCTTATTTGACTTTGCGTAAGCTTGTCTGTTTACCCTTGAACTCTGACTGAACTTGCATCTAGAAAAGGCTGCGGAAACACAGCCTTTCCCCTGAGAGCCCGGCTCAGCTTAGGTTTTTGCTTTGCCTGAGAAGTTTGGCAACTCCTGAGTTTTACAAAGCACAAGGAAAAGCGTGTCTGTTTTGCTGCCAGCGTTGCGTGCGGCTCAGTGAGTTTTCGCCCGCCGCCCGCCCATTCGGTTCAACTGGCTCAGCTTCGGTTCGGCTTCAACTCGTTGAAATGTCCAGCTTTGTAACCAAAGCTGGCGAAGCCATGGCATCCAGGTACTTGGAGGAGGGCTCACCTGGCATTGTGCGGGGGAATTGCCTATACAAGTTGGCGGAAGACATCCAACGAATCACTTGCGGGCAACCAGACAAGATCCCTTTCTCGATGCTCATCAAGGTCTGCGAGACTCTGGGCCCTCTGTACAAAGACAACCGGATGAACTCCAAGATCATCAGCAAGTGCTGCGCCACATGCACTGTGCTTGAACACTTCTTCCGCCACAAGACACCGGTGACTGATGTGCGCTACAAGGACGGCTTGTGGATGTTTGATGAGTACGAGATGCTGCGGCCGATGAAGGGGAAGCTGAACAAGGTTAAGCTTGACGAGCTGCGCACTCTCCATGACCAAATGTTGCAGGTGAGCGAGGCCCTGGATGTGTGGGGCGGTCTTGCCGCTGGCCACGACGCAGAGTGTGTGTTTCTGGCCACACTCTGGCCAGTCCATGTTCTGATACAAGACTTGCAGCCGGTGCTTCGAGAGTTCATATACGAACACACTGCGGCAACACAGTGAGTGTTTGGGCTGAGCTTGAGGGGCTGCTGCAGCCTGAGAAACGATGTGTTTGCTGCCGCATGCTTGTTTGCAGGCAAGAAAAAGAGCACCTGGGGCAATATTTGTCAATTTGAGATGCTTTTTGTGCAATTTACTTTGCAGCGCTCTGGTCCAAACTGGCCTTTTTTTAGGGGAGCCATGATGGAACAGTCACCTGCGTTGCGCGCCATGACCGAGGCTGGGGCTCGACGACGGAAGATCGAGGCATTGAAAACGCAAATGGAACACCTAAAGGAAGAGTTGCAGATGGTGGTAGCTGTTGAGATCCTGATGAGGCAGGAGTACCACAATCTGGATTCGGCGCTGGACCTCATCGAGGAGTTCCAAAACACGCGCAATGGCAGGCAGCAGCTGTTTATTGATTCTGAGAGGGGCAGAGACTTTTCAGGTTGAGTCTATGCGCAGGATGTCGCTCCGCATGTGGCAGACGGCAATGGACACCACGGAGGTCATCGATCACAAATTGTGGCAAAGCACGCAGGAGCTGGAGAAGTTAGAGTCTGAATTGCGCCGGCGATAGATGTCCCATGTTTATACTGCCGGAGTTCCACGCAGCGCTGCTGCCGCGAAAACCAACTGCGTGCCCGCAGTTGGTTCTTGTTAATGGCCAACACCTCTGCAAATTCCAACAGTAGCTTAGTCTTGACTTTACACGTTTCGGGCGCAAGGTCGGAACAAGAAAAAGACCCTCTTACGCAAGGCTAATGGTGGTAGAGCTGCAGTCTTCGATTCGTGCCTGCGTTTGCTCGGGCGCGCCTGTGAACAGTTGGAAACATGTGTCAGGGATGCTGTGTTCATGTCGTGATGGTTGAATTGCCCGCCGCAGCTGTTAAGGAACATCTGTGGAACACCTGCGGAAACGCAGCTGTCAGTCAGACAACGCCGTGGGATTCTGACTGGCGGGCCGTGTGCGATGTCTGCGGATGGATATACAAGACCCCGTTCTTCAAGAAGAAGGCCTTCAAAGACAGCGGTGTGATGGTTTGCGGTCAGAACTTTGAGGTGTTTTGCTGCGTGTGCCTGCTGGAGGGAAAGGCTGAGGCTGGCCTGCAGCACAGCTGGTGCTACACCAGGGATGAGGCCTTCAAAGTTCGGTCCGAAAAATGCGAACCGCCGATGTGTACTTACTGGGTGGGCGCCGAGTATGATCGCTTGCCGCCATCATCGCAGGCATCCTCGGCGTGGACCAGCACCTCCCCGCCGCCGCCGTGGCAGAGTCCGCCG